CCCCCCCCAAGAGAAGCCAGATTTAGGCTGGAGCATTGGCCTGTGCACTAAAAGGTTGCAGGTTCGATTCCCAGTCAGAGCACAGGCCTAAGTTGCCAGAGGCAACCAGTCAATGTTTCTCTTTCTTGCCCCCTTTCTCTCTCTCTCTAAAAACATCAACAAAACACATATTCTTGGGGGAGGACTTAAAAAAAATGTGGGCAGCTATTTGCTTGAACTGCTGATAATTTACTGCTGATATTTGACATTTTGGAACTATGAAAGTGGTAATCTACGATTCAACTTGAATAATACAGAGTTTTACACAAGGAAGTCTGCAGGGAGCCTGACCTCAAGTGATCTCCGATAAGCCTCATCCTCAGGGTGTGTTCTTCCTCTCTGCTATTCCTTCCTCTCCTCGGCCTGGCACCAGCTGCCCTCCTGACCCCTCTGCCATTCATTGTGTCTCTGGAACTTTCCCATCTCTCCTCACCAAGTTCCGTTGCCATTAGCCAGCCAACAGCCTCAGGCTTCGGAACCTCTGTAAGTCGGGTGACCCCTCTGCCTCCTCCTCAGCCACCCACTCCCAGAGCCGCACCCTGGTTTTGCTGCCCTCTGCAGTCTTCAGTTCTGACTGTGACCTGCGTCTTACTGGTACCCCTGACCGTCTGATCACTGTCTGCCCTGCAGAACCCGGCTCCGAGTCAGTGCCGCAGCCCCTTTTATGCTGCATGCCGGGGACAGAGTGACGGCCTTCTGGTCTTGGTGTCATCCATCACCCCGAGCCCTGGTCAGTTCCCTTTTATTCCCTCAGCAACCTTCCTCCCTCCTCCGGCCCTGCCCTTTCTACTTGGCTGAGAAAATGGAGCCAGCAGCTGTCTTCCCCAGTGGCGTCCTGTTCCTTTCCCTACAGGCCCTCGAGTCCACGTCCAGATCTGAGGACAGGGGTCCTTTCATCTCCAACCCCACCTTCGGCTTTCCTCTTTCCACTGGCCCTTTTCCTTTGGTCATAAATATAGACAAGGGTCTTTCATTAAAATCAAAACCCCCCAAAGCTGCGTGGCCCGCAGGTCTTGGGGCCCTCTCCCTTTCTCATCCCAGTGTCTGGTTGGCATCGTCTTTGCTTATCTGCCTGTGCTCTCCCCTCACTCGGCTGACAGCTGACCCTGGTGACTCCCCCCGCCCGAGCCCCAGCAGGTGTTTGCCAGGCCTTGTTGGTCTGGACTTCACTGCTACACCCCACAGATGGAGTCGACTCTCCTTGAAACGTTCTGCTCCCCGAATTTCTGAGGCACCTCATGCTTCTGGTTCTCCTTCAGTGTATTTTAATTAAAGTGATGCAGGCGCTTATTTAGGAAAACATCAAGCAGAACCAAAAACCTAATGATGAAGGTCATAGCGCACCCTTCTGTCCTGCGTCCCACAGGCAGCTAACGTCGGATTTTTTTTCACCACAAAGTCCGGTAACTTAGAGAAGGGACTAGGTCGGCTTTCAAAGTAGATGGGCAAGATGGAAGGTGTGAGAGCGGATCATTGTCCTTTCAGAAAGATAAGCTTGCCTGCAATTTTGGGGATGTGTATTTGGAGGCCGGGCTGGGACACCATAAAGAGAAGCTGGTGAAGTAACTGTTGGGATGAGAACTGATGGTGGTAAATCAGGCTAGTGGGAGTGAGGGGAGGGAATGAAGTAAAAATTTGGAAACGGGAGCCAAGATTCAGAGTTGGCGGTGAGAAAGGTAGACCTGGCCGCTCCCTGAAACCTGGCTACCCAAAAGTGCCGTTTCCTAAGCAGGAGCCCAGAGGCAAGAGCAGTTCTGTGGGGACTCTGGACCTCTGTTCTGGACCTGGAATGGTCTGGGGACCCTCTGGGGGGTGGAGCAGTGACTAAGGAGAGCGGTCCTGGTTGGGGCAGAGCCCTCTGCAGGGGGTGGGGGTGGCA